AGCATAAAGTAACTTAAACATTAATATCTAGTAGGATTTAGGGAGGAACTAGCCGGTAAATCACTAGGATTAATCTTAGCCTGGTTGTTAGCCTGCTCTGGAGCAGGCTAGCTGCAAAGTGTAAATCTCCATAGTAACTTAATGTAGATTAATTTAGCCTTCATTCGTGCAACCGAGTCAGGGCTAAATTCAGCCAGGATAACTGGAAAATCCCAGCTTAATCCCTTATCTTGCTTTTGTGCAATACCCCCCAGATCTTCATCATCTCTCACATGTTTGTATCTGGACTCTCATGTTTGTATCCAGTTCCCTTGAGGTGAGACTCTACATTTTGGTGTTCATATTTGTCCGTCCCTTTGAGAGCTAATGTTCAAATGCTGACCAAAACAACAGATTGTTAATGATGTAATGGACAATGTTATTTATTTATTTATTAAATTACTGAATTAATTGAGATGAATAACCATTTAATTATGGACATTGTGCCTTTTCTTGGGTGTTGTGAAATGAGTTAATCTAGAACATGACTGTGAGAGTTGTCTATACCGCATATAGTCTATTGATTAGCACTGTAACCAGAGATGAAGTTTTATTTCAGGCTTTCCTTTTTTTATGAAGATGACTCAGGCATTTTGTACAGCAGGAATAAAACTAGACCAGATAAATGGGAAAGTGTTAATTCCATTAGAAGTGGATATTAAACGCAAGTAGCACAGTATCCGATAATTTTTTGTCATCCTTTAGCTAGCAAACATTATATGATCCCATTCTTATTCATGCAAATGCTTTGAATCTGAACTTGGCTTGAACAAAAAGTCACACACGCACAGTTATGCCCAAATGTCTGTTTTGTGAGTATCCTCATAACATAAGAGTATCCTCATAACATAAGAGTAGTCTTGATTTAAATAAAGTCTTAAATGTATGTGCAGATTTGTGAGGGAAGGATCTTTGTGAGAGATCCACTTCAACTGCGGTTAACCACTGAACTTTTGTATGATAGTATAAATATTACAACTATGAATCATGCATTTATTCTTAAAAAAACATTGACAGTCAAAAACTGTGCTGAGAAATGGCCTCATCTTCTCGTGCTAGAGCTGGAAATAACCGCTGACTCTAGCACTGCTCATCTGCAGGATTGCTCCATTTAGTGTTTTAACGTCACTGTTTTCATGCAACGCGGCAGTGAAAATCCATACTAACAAAGCTGAGACTGTTCATATCATATCTAAAGTAACCTGCTCTGTCTTGTAATGTCTATAATATTTTCTGATTTTTCTGAAAGATATATTTAGTTTTTTTTAAACATCAGCATTGATGTGCATTTCGTGGTAAAGCTGTTCTGTGTAAAGCAGAAGTCAAACTGTGAACATTGCATGTGAAGGAGTGAAAAACACGTATATCACACTCTATTTTGACACATCAAGATACACACAGAAACTGACATTAACCGTAGATGTCCAGTTAGATTGCACCAAACACATCAAACACATCTCAGTACAGATAGAAATACATCAAACCACAGCAGGTTTTGTTTTTGACTCATAATCTGAGCTGGCCATCTTCATTTCTTTGCTTTCAAATGTTAAACCATCAAGCTTTTATTTTGGCAGAAAACAACAGGGAGACCTTAAAGCTTCTCTTTAGTTGACAACAGATTTACAACTAATACTGGAGATGGTTACTGCCTATTGCGTTTTCAAATGCATTTAATAAGTGACTCAAAGAAAGTGCACTTGAAGAGATGTAGTTTGTGAGAACCAATATTTACATGAGTTTCTCATGTGTAAATGAACTGTACTGTGAAATTAAATAATAATAATAATAAAATGTACTGAATGAAAGCAAACATAACTCTCCAATAAAATCATGCTGAATTGTGTTACAAAAACAAAAGGCATTTTTGAGACATCAATGTGCGCCACAAGAGAACACTGTATCCATGACACTGATCGCCGCGGCAACGAGCGCTCAGCTTGAGTTAAAAAAGAGATTTAAGTGCTAGATCTCTTTTTTTAATATAGCGAACTAAATGAATGCTCTGCTAGTTAACTGGAGATGTTTTATTTATTTGTGTTAGGTACATCTGTGCCTCAATGTTTCAAAAAGTGATGGGGGACAGTATCGATCCTGAGAAGAAGGGGTGAGGACATTTCCTATCAGTTCCACCGCAAATTACGCCCATGACACGACTTCACTGGTCAAATTACAAAATAACATGAATTATTTAAAATAATTTTGCAAGGGTTTATAAGACATTAGTATTTATATTTTTAGCAATTTTAGGAAGTTCAACATGCCCAGTCGAGTTCATTTCAACAATCATCCTGGTAGCTGAAGTACTCCTTAAACCACATTTAGCATTGAATGGTTTGTCGGATCTGACTACAGCATTTTAAAGCTAAATGTAAAAGGTTTTTATTAACGTTTTATTTTAACCTTGAATTAAATGTATTTGAAAGCTGGCCAAAGTTTGGCACTTTGGACTTTTTAGTTGTTTTTGTCTTTGTATGAAGAAATATAAAGTAATATCAAACTACATTTAATTTGTTGTTTTTTTATTTTAAATTGTGTTTACTGCAATCAATCACATAGGAAGAAGTAAACTACATTTACATACTGCGAGTTGTTTTTTGAGTTGAGAATAGTTTTTGAATCGAAAATCGCTTTTGAATCGAATCTTGAGCCAAAAAAATCAATATCGAATCGTGGCATTTTCTGAATCGTGCACCCCTAGTCTGTGTGTCAGCAGTATAATCGATGGAGATATGCTTCCGTCTATCTGTATATGTGTGGAAAATTATTATGCATCTACTTCTTACCCAATGAGAATCATTTAACCTGTAAGCAATGACTTAGTTTAGACCTTGCTGAAGGGAATAACTGCTGTGATCTTTGTTCCTGTATGCGAGGCGGCCTACGAACTCCTGTGAGTCTTGAAGCTGACTTTTCCTGATGAAACTGCAAAATATATTCAGTAAAACGTTTCTTTCTTTTTTTTTTATATATAATTCTGACTCCAGGTCTTCATTCTGGTAATGGGTCTTTAACTGTTTTTCCCTTTCAGTATGTACCTAATGTTAACAGATTTAAAATGTAAAAATGTATTAGTAAATGATGAAATGAGCAAACAGTGAACAGCATTTACTAATCTTAGTTATTGTTACAGATGGATTCTTATTGTTGTAACCATTTCATATAAATCAAAACATAAATATATCCTTCACTAGTTTTAAATATGCAACTTTGTTGGCTTACAAATGGTAACAAACGTGACATTAAACATTTGTGTTGGGCTTGCAAGTACTTTTGTTACAGCGTTTTGACTGTTTTAACAGGCTAGGGTAAAGGCACATCTTCAGAAATATGTTATTATACTAATCCCATGGTGTATGATTTCAGAAAAACTAAATATATATATATGTGTGTGTGTGTGTGTGTGTGTGTGTGTGTGTGTGTGTGTGTGTGTGTGTGTGTGTGTGTGTGTGTGTGTGTGTGTGTGTGTGTGTGTGTGTGTGTGTGTGTGTGTGTGTGTGTGTGTGTGTGTGTGTGTGTGTGTGTGTTTGTATTGAACATTGATTGAGCAACAGATTTTGGATGAAAATAAATCATAGCAGTGGTTTATTAAATGTATGAGTTGGCGAGTGGGAGCTTTTACACCAAAAACATACTTTGACATGTTCTTCCATTATTGTGCTTTAAAAAATGTGCTTTAATTACCTTGAACAAAACTGAAAATCATTAACTCAAAATATATTCAATAATTTTAGCAATTCTCATTTGCTAAATCTACATTTAAAATATTACATCAGTTTAGTATAGAATCAACTTAGCGTTTCTGTCCGTGATCTTGTCGAGAATCAGCCACATTTCCACGTGTGGTTAAGAGTGGATGTTTTGGAGAGTTATTGCAGCAAGGTTTTGTGCCATCTGGTTTAGAGGAAAATCAAGTGCGCCTTAGCCCATGTGTACCTACTACTAATGTTAGCGTAATCTCAGCCTCGATGGCAAACAGAGACAGACAAAGACAGATTAATAAAGTTCTCAACAAAGTTTATTAGCAAGTATACTTAAAAACAGGCGCTAGCAAACACAATTAAACATGACTGTGAACAGAAAGAATGAAGAAAGGGGTACAACTACATGGCAAACTAAACAATGTAACTTATAGAACACAGCTGGAACAAATTAATTAATAATGGCGTGGCCATTAACTAAAGTGTGGCGGGAAATCAAACAAAGGAAGGCATGAACTGAAGAGATACAAACTGAATTAAACTGAACATAATGATGACATTTCCACTAATGCAGCATCTAGCCAACAACAGTTATGTGTGTATATAATACAAGTATCAGATCTGGACTCTGTATTGGCAGATACTCGATATTCAATGATCGGATCTGGGGCACAAAAACCTTGATCAGGACATCCCTACTAAGCCAGATTGTGTTCTCACAACCATTCATTGCTAGAATTCATAAAGTTACCAGACAACTTGTAAATAGACTGCATATAAATTACCCAATTTGGGTATTGGGGTCATAATCTCTCTCTCTCTCTGTTACGCCTGCCTGTTTACCCCTACTGGCTCTGCTACACAGTGCAGACGTTAGTTGGGCAACAGGTGTATTCAATCCCTAATTAATTCCTCATAGTGGTTAGTATAAAGACCTGTGACTTGATGTGAGAGCTCTCTCACATCGCTCACTCCTCTCTCTACATTATTTCTTTAATATTGTTGTTTTCCCATATTTATTTTTAGTGCCAGATATTGTTTATTTAACAACCACGCGTGTGTGTTTTTCCCCCTCCCCTAGACGTCGGTTTCTTTTTTCTTTTTTTTTTGATAATTTAATATTTGTTTTGCTTGGTTGATAATAAATTGGTTTATTGTTAAAACATTTGTTGTTTGCCTCTTTTATGTTGCGGTATGAGCCAGCTGTAACACTCTCACACACACAGCTGGGGCTAGGTGTCTTGCTCACGGACACCTCAACACTTGGTCAGGTGGAACCGGGGATTGAATCACCAACCTTCTGGTTTGTAGACAACCTACATGAAGCACTGATCCACTGCCACCTCATTACTTGTGAGTAACGCTTTCATACACTGACCAATGCTGATTTTTACTTGCATTTGGCAATTAAAGAGTTTATAGTTCCAGGCTACAAGATTTTTCTTCAACAAGTCCTTGTATTAGAAAGCAGTTTTTTTTAGAAGAGCATTTTATTAATATTATTTTCTGAGTGTCAAACCTTAGTTCGTTGGGATATCATGGGAAAACAGAGTAAAACTAGAGCAAAAGTGAAAAATATCTAGCTGAAAATAAAAATATTTATATTTTATACACCGGTTAATGTTGTGATTCTCACCAACCCCAAATCTCAAGCACAGACTCCTGGTGAAAGTCACACAGCTGGATCTTGAAGTGAAGACTGAAGTTTGATTATCTTCTGACATCTGCATACACCACTTCATCCTCCTCTTTAACATTCTGTATGAAACACAAGGTACAATAACAATAAAACATTGTACAGGGCTGTTCCATAAAACAAGACAAGCCAGGCTAATTTTGGTTAGTCAGACTTATTGTCAGTTGATTCTGTTTCATAAAGGAAACTTAAAATAGTTCAAACTCAGTTACTCTGGAAAACTTATGCTAGAAAACGAACCTGATCCAGGGCAGGCTAACGTCAGGCTAAGCCTCTGCCGTTACACAGATCCTCTAACACTGACCAACAGGAACACAATTATATTACCACAGACACTCTCATACCATTATTTTATTACTCTATTAACCAATATCTGCCCAAAGATAAACACTATACAGGAAATGTACGTAAACAATGTTACAATGATAAATGAGACAATATATACCTACAAACATGTTCAATTATATTGTACATAAACTGTTCATGTTAAAGTAGTTATATATATATATATATATATATATATATATGCACACACATTATTATTTTCTTATATATTTTTCTTTCCTACTGGCTGAATGTTTTGTTCCCTAAATTTAATTAGATTGTTTAAAGATTTATAAATTTCACATTTCTCTATAGCCTACATTTCTCTGTTTTTTGTTTTTGTTTGTTTTTTGGCTGCTGTAGTACATTATTATGGTTATTAGAAGAAAATTAGAAAATTGCAAACAAACAAACAAAAATAGCTTTTTATAGCAGAAGTTAAAATCACAAAATTAAAAAATAAATAATTAAAAGCACAGTATAAATTTTAACTGGTAAGATGAATCTGAGCTTAGGAAATGACCAGTATTAGCCAACATATGATTTATCCTACAATAGTCCCTTTATAGTTTTGCTATCATAAAAAATACACTTGTTTGTTTAAAATTCTATATAAGACTTCAATTACCTTTTATGAAACCGCTTTAGCCCTAACTTATTCGTTAGGTTCATTCAAGTCAGGTGTTGGAGTTTAATACTTGCTTTGCTTAGTCTTTTATGGAACAACCCTCTGAACACTTGATGACATTTAGTTTGAGTTCAGATATATTTTTTCGTAAGACAGTGATAAGGTCCAGATTCTGTGAAGTACCATCAAACCTTTTGACATGTTGCTGATATACATGTTTAGACATACAAATATTTAAACAAATTCTATTACAGTGAATATTAATAACAAAAAATTACAGAACGGGGGTGTTTTGAAACGGAGAGAAATATGTATTATAATGCCGTAATATGACAGTAAAATAGTGCCTGTCCTTTTTTTCAGCGCCGTTGCTTCCAGAAGTATTTCATTTATTAAAATTTTTCCCCTTATTTGATTTCTTCATTACAGTTAAAATAAGCCATGAACCAAACCAATCATCAATTATGTGAATCACAACATTACAAGCTATGATTTGAAGCAACAACAAAAAATAGAAAATTGGACAAAAACACAAAGGTACAAGACTGTGCACTTAACGGCTTCAGTGAGGGAAAGATCTGCAATCCCATGAAGAGATGAAAACTGTGTAATCGAGTTAAAACCGATGTCACACTGTATATGGAGAACATGCAGTGCACTTTTGTCACATTCTGAAGGCTTAGTTTCCTTTTCCAGAAATCATCACCTTTCGCCCGCCAGTGATGCCCCTGAATGGTCCTAACTTTACTAAAATGTCATATGGTGTTGTTTTGTCTGTGTTTGTCAAGTTATACATGCAAAAACACATCTATAAATCTGACTGTTAAAATTAAAGACACAAAATATATTAAGAGTAAATAATCTCACCGATTTCTTGGGATTTCTTTTGTAGAACTTCGGATCAGCGTAAGTGACCTCTTTCGCTGTTTAAACAAAAATGACAGATGAATTAAAACCTTAATATATATTATTATGATTTTTCATAATTCAAGCATCCCTACTGTAGATTCTATAAATAATTCAGTCTATAAGCAATCCTAAACTAAGTTATTTGTTAAATGTTTAAATTATTTATCTATAATATAATATCGATATAAATATCACCCATTAAATACAAACATAGAGATGTTCATTTAAACACCAGTAGAGGGCTGCATCTCTACACGGGTATGATTATGCTCATAAATTGTTGAGAAAGCTTATTTTTGAATTATTATTGAAATCATTTAGATGTGCATTTTTGAGTTTGTATTTTCAGTGTTTTGATGCAGTTTTGAGAGATATAAATGTCTTTTTTTGTGCAAGTGAGATGATTAAAGAGCGCTGTCCAGTGTCATCATTACCACACCCAATAATAATTAAACTCATATTATTTAGGTTTATTTACATAAAAAAAGAACTAGAAACTACAAAAAAAATTGTGATGAACAGATATTTAGGATTATTAATTGAAAAAAATGTATATGATATATTAAAGTATTATTTGTTATAGTACTTGATTGTAAGACTTATACCTTTTTGATCAGTTTTTCTACATTTCCTGCAGATGCAGAAGATCACGACTGTAAACACAATCAGCAGAGATCCAGCAGCAGAGGAAGAGATCAACACTATCAGAGACACTGGAGAGAGTGAAGAAGAGTGTGTGTCCGGCGCTGTAATGATGAAGAAAGAAGTGAACGCATCAGTGTGATCTACACCAGAAGACAGAGATCAGCTCAGTAAGCACACACACACACACACACACACACACACACACATATCTGATACCTGCACATGTGTGGTTGCAGAGTGTGTTGATGTCCAGATGTGTGGTCTGGTTGCTGATGGGATTGTTCAGCACACAGCTGTAGGTGTTTTTATCCTGATATTCCACCTCCAGAGGTAGAGAGAGACTGATGCTGAGATCACACACACTGATGCTGGACAATACACTCATTCCTGCGTACCAGGACAGAGTCGCATCACACACACTCAACACTGATGATGAACACACCACTGAACAATTAGAAGATGATGATGATGAAGAACAGTCTCTACTGATGGCGGGAACAGGCAGACGAGCTGAAACATGAATAAATATAAGCATCAATCCTACAATGTGTTTAGTCTGATCACAGTTAGTGTTTTTGATCTCAAATGATAAAATGTCAGTAAATAAAACATTTAAATAAGAAAATTTGAAAGGAAGAACAAATGATCTCTCCTCACCATAGACAGAAACACTGAATGTTTTTGATGTCAGTTTCGCTCCCCTTATCTCTAGTTTATAAACTCCAGTGTGTTCAGTTGTGGTGTTTGTAATGGTCAGAGATCCAGTTTGATCGTCCAGCTTCAGTCTGTCTCTGAATCTCCCATCAGGACCATCATCATATGTGGAGGAGATTCGGCTGTCTTTGTTGATTTCAGCTATCAGAGAGTTTCCATCTCCATATTTCCACAGTATCTCGTCATCTTCATGTATATCAGTGAGATCAGTGTTTAGAGTAACAGAATCTCCCTCCATCACTGACACTGAATCACCAAACACACCTGATGAGCACACAGATTTACACAGATTAAAGCTCCTGTTGTTAATAAAGTCTGAATGAGTTGTCGTTTGTAACCCTTAAATGTGAATTAAAGAACAGCAGCAACACAAAATAAAGTGAAAGGTGAAATACACTGATGTGTGTGTGAACCAATTATTTGAACTTCATGCTTTCGTGTCTGCTTGTAAATTAAAATAAATGTGTGAAATTGTACATTCAAGCTGTAATAAATAAGTTTAATTCTGCCACTCACTTTCAATATATATTTGAGATTTTAAATATGAGAAATCAAGCTCACTGAATGAATCTCTTTCATGTTTCCCTGCTTCTTGATCAATGAATTTACTTGACTCTTGTATTTGTTTTCCAAACCTCCTTTAAATTCAATAAAAATAAAAATTATATTACCTTTTAATGACTTTTAAAATGTTAAAAAATAAAAATCTATATTATCCACATTTCCATTACTTTTTGAGAACTAGAACTAACAATTAAAGAGTTATTTGATTCATGTCGGTGTATCCAAACACAGAACACAAAGAGGCACCTGATCCGAGTACAGTAGATATAATAATAATAACTCATTAAAATTGTTATTTGAACAGCAGCAGAAGCTTATTGCTCTTAAACAGAATAAAATTAAGCTGTAAAATGCTTTTATAACTTACCATTTAGAGGCCAACAGCACAAAACAAACACATGTAACATTTTCTTTAAGTGCCCGAACTAATAAGACTATCCACCAAAAACACCTGAACTGTGAATGTGATGTGTGGATCTGATTCGTCTGCTGACAGTTCGCCCCTCCTATAGTTCACACACACACACACACACACACGCACACACCTACACACACACACACACACTGTGTATTATATGATATATTGTTATATAATACATAAAACTGTGTGAAGACTTGAACTTAATGGCAGAAAAGATACATTCCTCATTTTTACAATATAAAATTGATGTTTTTGAAGGGTAAAATTGCCTGGCTGTTAAAGCCTAATAGAAGAAGAATATTAAGTGGATATTTCTTAATTTGATGATTAATAACGCTTATTGATTTAAAACAAATAGTTTGAATTATTTGATTATTAATTGTTGTGTTTGGCCAAATAGTTTAAACAACACCATCACGCATGATCAGTTTTACTAAAATATACACTATGACACCAGAGATTGTACTTCTGGGTCAAACTGAAACCTGCTGTACTTGATTTCTTCACAAATGTGGTTTGTATGTGAAGGACTTTTGTCCTGTCCTGCAACTTTAACCTATTAAATATAAAGGTTTACAAGATGTATGAAAGGGCTGCTCAGTTTTGCAATGAATAAATAAATTAAATAATCAAATATTGTAATTGCAATTGAATTATATTTGTGTGGCAGCTACATGCAAAATTATTATTAGAAATAATTACAGTAATAATAATTGAAACAAGTGCAAAATAACATTTTAAAGGGTTTATTACTTGAAAAACAAGTGATCATTGCATAGTTAAATCAATTATAAATCATACTTTGACAGTTAAATTCCAACATTGTTTATGAAAGTCTAGCAAAGTTAAATGTGGCAAAATAAATAAATACTCAAACTCAAACATGAAAGTGTGGCTTCCTGTTACAACTAACCCCGCGGTGTAAAAACTATTTTAAGCCTATATTTAACATTTGCTGACTGATATGTTTCGAAACGGTGCTATGTTTTAGCTAACAAGACAGTGATTAAGGTAATATAAAGTTAGATTTTGGTGACCTACGCAGCTAACTCAGAAACCGGAATAAATAGGCCTAAATGCATGGTGTATAAACACTCTTTGTGCAGTATCAGCGGGAGACCTTCCTCTGGCAGCGAGAGAAAATAAGCGGAAACACAATCTGCTTAACTCTGTGTAAAAGATCCGTGTTTCATTAAACCCGCAGGTTGTGTCGCGCGCTCCCCTACACAAAATGTACAACCTAAAGAGAGTAACTGAGTAACGGGAAAAGTGTTTTGTTTTGTTTGTTTTGTAAAACGTCACTTCGTCAGCTATCTGCAGTTCGCGGGGAGGATCCTCCAATGTTTAGTTTCACTTTAACTATTCGCCAAATACGGAAGACCGAGACGACGGTGTAAGGAACACAATCTGCGCTGTTGTTGTTGTTTTTTTACGAAAACTGGTGAAAATGAAGCTTCTGTTTATTTTGCTCTCAGTGGGTTCATTCTTACTTCATCATGGTAAGACATTATTTATTACAGTCTCTCTTCCGGTAGGCTATCAAAGCGAACAAAGTCTGTGACGCAGTTATTTTGTAGCCTACACGCTTCTATTTGCTTTGTGTAAGGCCTACTCGACGGTAATTTAGTCTATATGATTACCTTTCTTTCCTTTACTCTCGTATGTGTGTGTTGTGCTCGAGCATGGTAAAACATTTAGTGGATCGCAGCTACTCTTTCAGAGTAAAGTTGGCAATAAATTCACAGATTCGAACTTCCCGTTCGACATAAAAACGACGCATGGGACGCACTTTCATTTTGTCCTAGCCTACCAGCACTAATCACTTTACACTCAAAATAAATGCTGTTTTAATCCGACAATTAATTTAAATGAAATATGTTCGTGATTAGACTATATGATGTGAACGTGTATAGTTGTAGTTTTCGACACGTTTTTGTGCAGTAACACAAACGAGAAGTTGCAGGGCGTGAATGACACAACAGGCCTATAGTGAAAAGGGAATCTTGTAATTGCTTAAGTCAAGTAACTTTGTATAAATACTTAAAACTAACATGGCATCATATTTTGAGATTTTATTTATTTGAGTTTTATTTATGTACAGTATATATATATGTATAAGAGAGAGAAAGACAGAGAGAGAGAGAGAGAGAGAGAGAGAGAGAGAGAGAGAGAGAGCTGGTAAGTCCCGCCCACCCATAAAACTTACTGCAGTCAAGCCATCCTCCAGTTCGAAATGAGCAGTCAAACTAGCCGCCCCTATATTTCTCTATGCGCTTATACACTAGCTATTACGGTAAGACCGTCAACCTTTCTGAAACTGAAAATATTGATCTTCCAGCGAAGGCTATTTCAGTTATTCCGTCCGTCCGTCTGTCTATCTGTCTGTCCGTCTGTCTGTCTGTCTATCTATATATTCTGCCTATAACTATATAACTATATTCTATCTATCTATAACATTCTGATGTTATTTTACAGAATAAGAGCCCCCCGTTTTGTCCATACATTCAAAAAATCATAAAAATAAAAGTCCTAGCTTCCACAGACCAATTCCTTCTCAGATGGAGAGTACACCTTCTCAAGGTGTCCCCTGCAAAGTTTCAGGACATTCTGATGTTGTTTTACGAAATAAGAGCCCTCCAAATCTTATATATTTCCTGTTTTGTCCACGCATTCAGAAAATCATAAAAATAAAAGTCCTAGCTTCCACAGACCAATTCCACCTCAGATGGAGAGGATACCTTCTCAAGGTGTCCCCTGCAAAGTTTCAGGACATTCTGATAAATTCTGTGGAGAGAGCGAATGAAGTAGTGGAAAAAGGTGTAGTGATTAGTGGTTTGTTCACTCCAGTGCTTCCCCTTTCTACACCCGCGAAAAAAGTCACTCTGTCTAACGTACCGCCGTTCATAAAAGATGCGATGCTAATAAAAGAACTGTCTCGGTTCGGAAAAGTAGTCAGTCCCATGAAAAAGATCGCTCTGGGTAGCAAATGAGACTTGATCAAACATGTGGTATCTTTCAGGAGATTTACTTATATGATCTTGAAAGATAATCGAACTGAGCTTAATCTGAATTTGAAACTCAGAGTTGATGACTTTGATTACACCGTCTTTGTGAGCACCGATGTGATGAAGTGTTTTGGCTGTGGAAAAACAGGGCATTTAGTGCGTGCTTGTCCGGACAGTACAAGCACACAAGGTGTCTCAGGCGAAGCTGATGTGCAGGTCAGGAATACAGTAGATGATGTTCCTGATTTAACCCAAACTGATCCCAGACCATCCACTAGTGGTTTAACTGAAACAACTTTTCATGAGAATCAAGCCATAGCTGGGAATAACGAGGAGAATGCTTTAGCTGTTGTAGTTGTAGTCGACAAAGGTGACCCCAAGGCTGATGAGAGCATGGATAGTTCGAATGTCACAACTGTAGTATCTGAAGCAAAGTCTCTTGCAGAAAGTGTCAACTCAGGTGATGATTTAATGATGGATTTAGATACAGTAGTTTTTAAAACACCGTTAAAGAGGAAAAAGAATGACAAGGTTTCTGAATCAAAACAAGCTAAAAAAACAGAAAATGAAAAAGAGTCTGATGATGATGTAGGAAATGAGAGTGATCTCTCTGATTCTGGTGCTTCTAGTTGTTCCCAGAATGAGTGGACGTGTCGAGACTATGATGCTGACGAAATTAAGAAGTTCTTGAAAATGTCAAAAAACTTGAGGGGTGTACAGGTTGCTGATTATTTTCCAGACATAAAGCGTTTTGTGGAAAATACGAGGGCTTTCATGGCTGAGGGATGTTTTACTAATAAAGAAGTTTACAGGTTGAAAAAGTTTGTGACAAAACTCCAACAACAGTTGAATAATTAATGGCAGGAAATTTGACTATTTTTTTGGCCCTTCTTGGCTTTTTTTTTCTTTATGGCCTAAGTTTATTTTTTCATAACTTTCACATGGGTGACTTTCGTGTTGCATCCTTAAACGTGAATGGAGCAAGAGAATGCATAAAGCGTGCACAAATAAATAACACTATGAATCAGAAAAAACTTGATGTGTTATTTTTGCAAGAAACACATAGTGATAAGACAAATGCTGATGAATGGGCAAGAGAATTTAAAGGTCTTTCTTTTTTTAGTCACAAATCCTCAATTAGTGGTGGTGTGGCTATTTTATTTGCCAATAGTTTTACTCCCTCTACTATTGAGACAGAAGAGGTTGTGAACGGTAGATTGTTAAAGATTCGAGCCCATGTTGAGAACCATATCTTTATTTTTATATGTGTATATGCTCCAACTCTACCTGCTGAAAGAATGGTGTTTTTACATACTCTTTGTGAGACATTGGATAAATGTAATAGTGAGGAGCATTTATTTTTAGGTGGAGACTTCAACTGTGTAGAAAGTGACATGGATAGAAATCATGTAGAGCCACATTTGCTTTCTCGTAAGCGACTCATCCAGTTGATCAAAACAAATGATTTATGTGACGTCTGGAGGAGTTTAAATGGAAATGTAAAGCAGTACACATGGGCACATGCCCGTGATAATAGGGCCTAAAAAAAAAAAAAGTTTGGTTCCGGTTGGTTGTCAGTTGAGGTCATGGGTCGGTAGGGAATTTTTTTTTTTTTTTTTTTTTTTTTTTTTTTTCAGTGGCAGCAAGGGATGGGTAGGAAATTATTCAGGGCTCGACATTAAAGGGATAGTCAAACCTAAAAATATCAAAATCGAAACTACTGTGGAAACAAAGACACCTACATCTTAGATGCCCTTGAGTTAAGCTAAAACATATCAAAAATTTATTTCAAAGTGAACTATCCCCTTAAGCCTTTTCACGTGCTTGTCCTCCGGACAAGTAAGTAAATCTGTCAATCACTTGTCCGAGTAAAAAAGTTGCTTGTCCGGATTTTTAAAATGTATTTATTTTTTATTCTGAAGCAATATTCTCATCAGTGTTCAATCAGCTTTGATATTTAAAAAGGCAAATTGTAATATCTGCACCTTTAAGGGCATCCCCTCCACCAATATTATTAAATGCCCAATAGTGTCTTATTATTCTAAATAATTGAATTTATTGATCAAATTTAGGAATTTAAAATGAAAGATGAAGCATACTGTTACCCTAGGTAGGGCTGATGAAATTAAATCATTTACACTGAAAAATTACAATTTCATAAAATAATGTTATGAAATTGATTTAAATGTGCAAATAAGAAATATTGGAAAGAAATATACTAGGCTACTTATAAACATAACACTAAACTGCCAATAGGTGGCGGCAGGCGGCCGTATAAATGAGTGAGTTATTGATTCATTAATTCAAACGATTCGTTCAAACGGTTGATTCATTCAAGAATGAGACAGATGTTGATGTTTATGAATGGGTCATTGAATCCTTGACTCAACCGATTCGTTCAAAATACTGAATCATTCAGTAATGAAAACAGGATGAGTTCCTGTGAGATGCGTCGTGGTTCTGCTGTGACTTTTCTTTGGAACTATTTTCGCTGCTGAAATGGAACAAAAACACCCAATATTGCTTATAAACAGTAAGTGACTTAATCTTAACTGTTTATTGAACTGTTGTAGGAAATCAATGTCACTTTTTCAATCGTGATGGTATTCAGGAAAAATAATTGAGGCTGCTTAGTGCTTAACATATGTTAAAATATAAAAACTCCACATTTAAATTTTTTATAGACAGAGTATGTTGTTAACTGTGTGTGTGTGCTCCGCTCATGTGTGTAGATTTCTCTGCGCGAGCGTCAACAAACAGCGCAACCTTACCATCAGTAATACAGTAGGCCTGCTACATTTATTATCCACAATCGATCGCAACTTGCAATAAATGTAATAAAATCAGAATCATTCTCTCGGTTTAGTGATTCCCTAGTTATTTTTTTGTTTGTTATTGATGTTCTAATTAGGCTACTTGTCCGTTGGGGCGAGTAAAATTCTCTTTTACTTGTCCTTCAAAAATCCATTTGTCCCGGAAAAGCGGACAAGTTAGACGGGCTCTAGAGATACGAACCGCGGCAGGTTAGAGTGTTTTGGATTGCGTAAAATAATGAAAGAAACGAACAAATACATGGCGAAAGAAGTGCTAGACAGCAGAAGATGGGATTGGGATCATGATTGGATCATGATGATTTTTTAATAAAACTAGGCGGATGAGGTATTAGTATGTGGTGTGTGCATGCCTATGAATGCATGTATTTGTATGTGTGCGAATATGAATAAAAATATCCTAAATTACAAAAAAAGACTTGAATAATATGTATTATAGACAGTTCAGTTTGACGAACGAACGATATCTGCCTCGTTTTGTTAATAGATTGCTGGAGGACAAGATGCATCTTACATCGCGTGCTATAAAAAGACGGAGCTGTACAAAAAAGTAAATTAATAGTTCGCCTCAGAGTTTTTTATTTGTGTATTTATTTAATTTTTATTATTTCTTCCCCAAGGTCATAAAATAATTTTGGGTCGCACATAAATTGACAGGGTCGGTCGGAAACCGGAAACAAACAATTTTTTTTTTTACGCCTAGGTTGCCATTGGCAAGACTAGATAGATTTTATGTTTTTAAACATTATCTTAGTACTTTAAAAAATTGTTTTATAAGCCCAGTTGGTTTTTCAGATCATAGTATTGTCATATGCACAGTAACGTTACACTCTGTCAAGCCGAGAAGTGCTTACTGGCACTTTAACACAAATTTATTAAGTGATGCACATTTTAGAGAAACATTTACATTTTTTGGGGAAAACTTTAAGAAGGAAAAAACAGATTTTCAGTCTTTGGAAAAATGGTGGGAGTTTGGTAAAGTACAAATCAAACAACTATGTCAACAGTACACTCACAATGTCACAAAAGATATAATCAATTCTATAAAAGCTTTAGAAGATGAAATTCTGAAATTTCAAGAAGTGGCAGAGTCAAGTGGAAATCAAATGCATATTGAATCCCTTTTTTTAAAGAAATCTGTTTTGTCCGATATACAAAAAGTGAAGGCACAGGGGGCGCTTGTTCGGTCACGTTTCAGAGATATAGACCAGATGGATGTACCGTCCAAATTTTTCTTTAGTCTAGAAAAAAAGAACGGTCAGAAACGTTTTATACATTCTTTATTTTCTGAGACCGGTTTTCTTGAATCAGATCCTATTGAAATTCGGAAAAGAGCAAACAATTTTTATGAAAAGCTTTATAGTTGTGAGCACAGAGAAGATCGGGTTGTTGAGCAGTGTTTTTATGAAGGGCTACCAAAGGTCTCTGAAGAGACCAATGCCGAGCTCAAGAGAGCTATAAGCCTCGGAGAACTGCACGAAGCGCTCCAGAGCATGGAGAACGGAAAGGCTCCTGGGATCGATGGAATCCCAGTGGAGTTCTATAAAGCCTTTTGGCCTGAGATAGGGGAGGATCTGCTGGCGGTTCTCAGTGGCAGTCTAGTCGGAGGACTTCTGCCGCTGAGCTGCAGAAGAGCGGTCCTTACTCTTCTGCCGAAAAAAGGTGATGTGAGAGACATAAAAAACTGGCGACCTGTATCCTTGTTGTGCTATGACTATAAATTGCTCTCAAAAGTTTTAGCTACTAGACTGGGAAAAGTTTTGGAGGAGGTAATCCACTCTGGTCAGTCCTATTGTGTACCAGGAAGATCAATTTTTGATAATATCCATTTAATGAGAGATGTATTTGATGTTTCAAAAATAGTGGGTGTAGATATGGGTTTGATTTCCTTAGATCAGGAAAAAGCGTTCGATCGTGTAGAACACGATTATCTGTGGAAAACTTTGCAAGCATTTGGTTTTAGTTCTGATTTTATAGGTTATATTAAAATTCTTTACAATGACATTGAGAGTCTACTGAAAGTTAACGGTGGCTTATGCGCTCCTTTTAAAGTGTGTCGTGGAGTAAGACAGGGGTGTTCTCTGTCAGGAATACTGTACACGTTGGCAATAGAACCGCTTTTAAATAAATTGAGAAGAGTTTTAGAAGGGGTATCTTTACAAGCCTGTAACAGCACTTTATGTTTATCAGCATACGCTGATGATGTTGTCATCATACTTAACAAACAAAATGATGTGGATTTATTAGTAAAAACATTGAGAGATTTTGGAACCATTTCTTCAGCAAGAATTAATTGGGGAAAAAGTGAAGCAGTGTTAATAGGAAAATGGGAAAGAGGGGTACCAACACTCCCAAATGGGTTAAGTTGGAAAAAAGATGGCTTGAGATATTTAGGAGTGTTTTTAGGAGATGAAACGATTGTTCAAAAAAACTGGGAGGGAATAATTGAAAAAATGAAAGGTCGTCTGTTGAAATGGAAATGGATTGTAAAAAGTTTATCATACAGAGGACGTACTTTGATTATTAATAATTTGGTGGCCTCTTCCCTATGGCATCGACTGGCTTGTATTGATCCACCTGCAGGGTTACTTGCAAAAATTCAGTCTCTTTTGGTAGATTTCTTTTGGGAAAAAATGCATTGGATACCTCATAATGTTTTATATGTACCAAAAGAAGAAGGAGGACAAGGACTTGTACACTTGCAGAGTAGGACTGCAGCTTTTCGGCTACAATTTGTGCAGCGATTTCTCACTGGTCCAGAGGACTTAAGCTGGAGACCTGTGGCCAGTCTGATTCTAAAGACTGCTGAAGGACTGTGTTTGGACAAGTCGTTGTTCTTGTTAAATCCCAGTAAACTCAACACATCCAGAATGCCGGAGTTCTACAAGAATCTTTTTAAAGTGTGGGACGTTTTTAATGTTAAAAGAATTGAGTCTACTTCCTCCTTGTTTTGGCTGTTGAAAGAACCTCTGATTTATGGGTCACGTTTGGACATTTTAGGAGCATGTGGGACAATGTCTGTTAATTTTATCAAATCTAAGATCACAACACTTGGGTGTTTAATCAATGTGGTTGGCTCAGGTTTTGAAAAAGTTGAAGATTTAGCTGTTTTGTTGGGAGTTAGGTCCATGCGAATTGTTGCACAAGTATTACATAAACTACAATCTGCTTTTACAACGGAAGAAGCAAAAATGCTTCAAGGTTACTGTAAAGGAGAGTTTATCCCTGATAAGAGAGACACATTTCCGAATTTGCTTCTTTCACCAAAGTTAGGTGAATGTACAGGAGTGTTTTTAGAATCTGAAAAGCTAGACATGGAGTTGCATGAAAGTAATGGGAAAAAATTGTATAAAGCTTGTGTAAAGGCTTTTAACAAAAAAGGACTACATGAAAGAGTTGACACGCCATGGCGTACTGTGTTTCAGATGAATGACGAAGTCAGGCCAGAGTGGAGAGCGTTGTACAAGCCACCGTTAGCTAAAAGAGATGGAGATCTACAATGGAGGATTTTGCATGGCATTATTGCTGTAAATGCTTTTATTTCTGTTTTAAATCCAGATGTTGGCAAAGAATGTCCCTTTTGTTTCCAGAGAGAGACTGTTTTCCATACATTTTTGTATTGTTCAAGGCTTAAGCCTTTATTCGATGGTTTGCAGAATCTTTTTAATGTTTTTGATGAGAGTTTTTCTGTGCAGACTTTTATTTTGGGCTTTAAATATGTTCAAAAGCGAAGGAATGAGTGCCAGTTGTTGAATTTTATTTTGGGTAAAGCCAAAATGGCCATCTATATTAGCAGAAGAGATAAAATTGAAAAACAAATTGATTATAATGTTGAAAGGGTGTTCACAGCCATGATCAAATCAAGGCTTGTAATTGATTTTCGTTTTTACAAAGCTATGGATTCCTTAAATGTATTTGAAGGAATATGGTGTCACAGAGGAGCGTTGTGTTCCATCATTGAAAATGAACTGCATTTTGCACTTTTTTTATAAAAAAAAAAAAAAAAAAAAAAAAAGTAATACCTTACAATTGTTTTATGTGAAGAATCATTTTTGATAAATAAAGATGATTGAAAAATCTCTCTCTCTCTCTCTCTCTCTCTCTCTCTCTCTCTCTCTCTCTCTCTCTCTCTCTCTCTCTCTCTTTATATATATATATATATATATAGAGAGAGAGAGAGAGCATTTTACCCCACGGGGCAAGAGTATCCAAGTAGCCACTATATGTAAATATGTCAGCTATTCTGAATCTAAGTGAATACTTGATTAAAACAAGTACAACTTTTTTATCAATAAAATAATTGTTGTTAATATTTTTTTAAAATATTTTTAAAGCTACCCTGCTTGGAGGATATCCCATAATGATTTAATATAGCGGGAGTGACAAATGATATGTTATTATGAAAAGATTTTGAAATATGATGGTTTCATCTGAATCTAAACATGTTGTCAACAAATGGGAAAGTCAGTCAGCTACTTATTATCATGTCAACTAAATGATTTTAACAGTAGTGCTTCTTACCAAAAATACCATATTTTTTCTGTTATTGAAAAAATATATTTAACCACCTTCAACAAAATGAAAGACCTCTTAAAATAATATATAGTTGTCATAGTTTTGCTGCTCATTTACTACACATACCTAGAACTAATATGTGTGTGTGTGTGTGTGTGTGTGTGACACTAGAAACAATATGTCACAAAATATTGCAATACAAAAATGCATCAATGTGGATATTGACAATTATGTATTTAGTATAATTCACCCAAAATAAAAATCTGTGAGAAAAAAATGAAAGTTTATAGTGTTTTTAGTGTCAGTACTACATTTACAGTACTACAAACTGCTATTTATAATGTATAATAATGCAGTGGGGGAATATTTGTGGGTCCTGATAATGGCAAATGTCTAAAGTTACGGGTAAAAAGTGACTTATATTATTTTAAATATCTCTTGTCAGTGAAAGAGTGTAAGCATATACGTCTAAAATAATTCTAATTTCAGCTTCAAAATCATGAATATTTTTATTCTGGTGACTATTGTCCTGTGCTTTGGGTTTCCAGCACTAAATCTAACCCTTTTCATTTACACACAATGTAATACCAAATTTAGCATTTTAATCAACAGGACATTATAGTTACTGAATACACAAATATACTGTATAGAGAAAAAAGTAAAAGATGAATCAGGCTGTGGTTTGTATGATGTTCATTAAGATGTTCAAGTTCTTCCTTGTGACTTGTGTATGTTTGTCTGATGAGTGAAAGGCATGTCATTTATTATATCTAGAATTTTACCCCTCAATTTTTATAATCTCAAGGTAAAAGATTCACTTTTTTTTAGGTGCATATTCTGTTGATTCAGTTGAACTGTCAGTGACGGAGGGAGATTCAGTCACTCTACACATTTGTGTTGAGAAGAAAGAAGAAGAAATGCTTAAATGGTATTTTAATGAGAGTCGCATCGCTCAAATCAATGGAGATCTCAGTAAGATCTGTACAGATGTTCAGTGTAAAGATGGTGATGAGAGATTCAGAGACAGACTGAAGCTGGATCATCAGACTGGATCTCTGACCATCATGAACATCAGAATCACAGACTCAGGAGAATATCAACTGAAGAACAGCAGCAGCAAAAACAGTGAAAAGATCTTCAGTGTTTCTGTTCATGGTGAGTCAAATGTTTAATTGCAGATATATTATGTTTAATCGCATAGTATCACATAATTAATTTTTTTTTGTGAAGCAGTCACAATATGAGCTGCTTTTTCTCTTTAGCTGTAGCTGCATCAGAAAAGTATAAATGAAGTCTGAACTTTCTATCCATTGGCAAGTTAATAGTTTTAGCAGATCAATATCATTGTGGTAATCACTCTGAGTTTGGTCACTTTCTGTTCCTGTCTCCCTCTTTCTACCACCAGGAATACAAATAAGCTTAATAAAAAATTAAGAATATAGACATCTAATATGGGCAATATACCAGAAATCAAAAAAGTTACTTTAGCAATGTTTTTGAAATTAAAAGTAAGCTAAGTAATTACATGTGACAGCAGTCGGAGTGTTAATTAACGCAATTACAATATCGTCAACCTTCAAAAAATAAAGGTTAGAGTGTTTGATCGTAATAATCCAGATAATAGCTGTAAAATAACTGTTTTTCTGTAAAACATTTAAGAAATATATATGTAAAATGTTTTTTGCGCTTAATTTAAATTAGGATATTTTACTTTATTTTTATGGTATTTGTTTGGCACCCTTTGCTGCAAGTCATTTGACCCTTTTTTTACGATTTTATTTTTTTACAGTGTACAAGGACACTATAAAATAATCTGTTACCAAAAGAACTGTATAATGCACAATTATTTTGTCAGTTTTACTTGTTATGGAATGTGTTTTCACCAAAAATATGCTTCATGTAGCTGTTGGTTTGTGTTTCAGGTGTTCCTGATGGTGAACGAGAGAAGATGAAGAAAAAGTCAGTGAAGGAGGGAGACTCTGTTACTTTAGATCCTCATGAAATAAAAAACCCAAGTGATGTGATGATATGGTATTTAAATGGCACTCTCATCGCTCAAACCCCTGGAGACCAGAATAAGATTTATAAAGGTGTTCAGTGTAAAGATAGTTTCAGAGACAGACTGAAGCTGGATAATCACACTGGATCTCTGACCATCATGAACATCACAAACACAGATGCTGGACACTATATCTTTGAAGTACAGAGCAACAGCAACCGCAAGCGCCGCAGCATCAGCAACAACGTAGAGTTCTTTGAAGTCAAAATCAAACGTGAGTGTCATTTAGGCATTTGGCAGTGAAAACTTATTACAAAATAGAAAGAAAGAGGGTTTTGTCACACCTTTTTATTTTAGTTCCTCAATGACTGATGCAATACTACTTCTGACATCACTGTATGAATCAAGTAATCACTTTTTAAACAGAATCAGATTTATTCTCTCAGACCATCTGATAACTCGGTGTGTTATAGATCAACCTGACAGTTTCACTCACACTAATGTCTGTTTCTCTTTTGCTGATCCACCTTCAGGTCCGTCTCCAGCTGATCCAGCTTCAGGTCCGTCTTCTCTTGTAGTAGGAATATGTGTTTCTCTACTGATGGCTGTGGCTGTGGCTGTTGCGATCTTCCTTACCCGCCGCAGGAGGAATGGCAAGTATAACCTACAGATACTATAGTGAGAGTAAAAAATAATTTATTGTGCAAAATAAGTTTTTCATTGTGTCTGATTGTTTATCAAAGCAGCCGTGAAAGATCCAGCCACAGCTTCTGAAGAAAGTCCCATGAATGAGGTGAGATTATGTACTAGTGTACTTTGTCTTTGTATTAATTTACATCAGATTCAGATCTGTGTTTGATTTCACCTGAACTGATAAAATCATCCTGATAGGAAAAACATTTCAATCAGAATCTCATTCACTGATTAATGACGGATGTGCTGAATTATGTAGCTGGAAACTACTGTTTATTTCTCTCTTTCATCTTCTGTGATTCATTGTTTTCTTACAGAAGAAGGATCAAGATCTTGTGATCTGAGAGGGTCGCAGCAGTTTCTGCAACATTATTCCCATTATATTACATCATGCTAAAATGAGCTGAAACATAATGCTTTGCAGGCTTCTTATCAATAATAATGCACTTACTTATTAATAATTATGCACATAACTGTGATGACCATAGTCATATTTTCTAGGGTTGTGTTCTTTTTTAATTTTATCATCTAAATGTACTCGTATCATCTTTGTTAGTAAAGTTCTTGCAAGGAAATTTAAACTATAAACTTAACAGGTATTTGTTTCTAGTACAAACAAAAAAGTACTAATATTTGCATATGTTTTCATGCTTGATTTCTCAAAAAATTATTTAAAAAAAAACGTATTGTTTTAAATTAGATTTTTTGTTGTATAATTATTAAACTTTGAAATAAATTAAATCATTTAAATAAATTTATAAAAAGAAATGCTAGCCAATCAATTAAAATAACCACACTTTTATTTAAAGTAACACACAGAAATTGGAAATAAAATAGGCCTATACGAACTGTCAATTTCGTCCCCGCCCCTTTTTAGGGGAAACAAACTAGACTTCCCATAGAGTTCAATACAAAATAACGGCATAAACCAACGTCCGTACAAAGCCGACAGGAATGAATAATTTAAGAAGTCACTAATATAGAAAATGTCAAGTAATTATATGTCCACCCCGCCTGCCATAGAGCATGAAAGATACATTAACAAACTTAATTTGGTCAATTTAAAAGCATTCATTCTCCCAGCGTCTAATTATTGAAACAACCTTTCCCAGTGGGGTTATACATTATAATATATATCATAATGTAAATTATAAGACATAATACATATATTTAAAGGAAAATCTTAGTAAAATCATTCATGGCTTACCATGGTTACTCGATGATGTATGACTATGAGTAAATGTCTGGGTAAGTACACCTCTGGCCACTGGGTGGGGTTTCACCAATTTGACTGAATTTGATGCTGGGAGAATAAAGGGACATGTTTTTAAACTGACCAAATTAAGTTTATTGATGTATCTTCACGCTCTATGGCAGGCTGGGTGGACATAATTACTTGACATGTTTAATCTTAGTGATTTCTTAAGTTATGCACGCCTGTCAGCTGTGTACGGACGTTGTTCTGTGACGGTATTTTGTATTGAAGTCTGGGAAGTCTTTTTATTTTCCCCTATAAGTGGGCATGAACCTGTTCAGAGATATTCTATGATGCTGCGGCGGTTGTTCATTATTATTATTATTCATTCAGTTCTTTGCAACAGACTCAAATTTAACACTTTTTTTTTTACCAATTATCAAAATAAAGTAGTCCTACAAACTAAGCTATTATTATCAGAGCATGTGAGCAGGTAGAGGACCAATGAAAAAGAGGACGGCATCATTTTACCAGAGTTGTCCAGTACAGCTACAGAACAGTAGGGCTATTGCGAACAGAAACAAATTCCAGCCTGATTCAGATCCTAACAATGTTAAAGAGGATTGTGCTGAACGGATTGCAAGCACAAATTTCACTGGACGTTTCAGAGTCTGGTTTTTTTTCTGTTTCTAATAGATTATATATATGATGGTATCCACTATTTAATCAAATTTGTCGGAAAACTATACTACTAGTACAAACAGTAATCAATCACAAAATCATTGATAATTTTCCGAAGGAGGCAAAGCATTGCCCTTTGATTACATCATATATCATAGCAATTACTTAAAGCTTATAATTGAAACTGTCAATAGAAAACAACTGCAAATAATCAGACATAGGCAACTTGCAAGTTGTGATCCATAAAAAATTGTGTCGCGATAAAATGAGAATGGCTCTGTTTTCAGGAGAGGCTGTTCTCCATAAAATATGCAGCGCACAGACCAGATATAGTGACAACATATTTACAATATTATTGAGAACATGATAATGGCTGTCAAATAAGAAAAGTGATGATGTTGATGTGCATGTGTAATACTATGAAAAGTAGTTTCATATCAAATGCTTTAAATGTGTAATTATGAGAATGAGTTTGATGATGTATGTTGCAACTGAAGTAATGTGTTGATGATACGACCAGTGGAATGTTACAGTTAACAGTATTAATAGAGTTAAGATATGTTTTTTTCCTCCTATTTTGAACATCTATACAATTTCTTGTTTATACTGAGGTGAACGGGGGTCTGATTTTATGTCAGGAGTGCAATAACAGTGTTTATTCATTAAGCCCGGATTCAGATAAACTCTTTACTTGCTTGCTAAACATTTAAGGGACTATCCCCACAAAAACAGCCTAAGCTTTCTTCTTATTCTTATAAAACTTATTTCAAAATTTTAAGAGAGTAATCAACTCATTTGAATAGATGAATAGTGTTATGTAGAGTGTTATAAGTGTTATGTAGTGTTACATTTGCTGTCTTATTATTTTAGTTCTAAATGACTGATAAAAAGAGGGGAATTGTAGGAGAAATGTAATATGTTCTATATATGTATGACTTTTGTATTCATGCAAATGTGTGACTAATGTTGGACAGAGGGCCTCCACTAGCATATGATTTAATGAAGAAAATCTAATGAAGTTGGTTATGGCCAAGGCACATCTTCATTTGGCCTGGAGAAATAACTTTGGGGAGCGGGGGATTATAAAGAAGGAAGGATGCCCTCCTCTCATTGTCACACTCTGCAGCCTTACTGTATGACCGCTGGCTTGGCGTTTTTATTGTTAAAAAATAAATAACCTTCAAAGACAATTGGTACATGTTTGTCTCTTATTCAGTGATGTAAAATTGTTCACCACCACAGGGGTGATTGGGCCTCATCTTAAATCTGATTGGCTCCTGCATTGACTCTGCTCTGGAGAATGAAGGATTATGAAGCCAAATATGCAAATCAGGGAAAGCGGTTAAAAACACTCCGATAATGTTTAATAGAAGAGACTATAGAAAAGTTTGAGCATCTTTTATGGGAAATCCCCTGGCTGATTAAAAAAAAAAAACTGATGGTATTGCACTGTTGTAACTCTGTTGTCAAGCCTGAGCAGTGAATCACGTTCATGTACATGCTCATCTAGTGTAAATTGCTTAATTATAATAAATGTCTTTTTGCATTAGTTAAAGATTCATTATCTTTGAATCCTGCTGCTCATTAGATTACATTAATTCATTAACAACTTAAATCTACAGGCAAGTTAACACACTGTTCTATAATTTATTCTGCATTAAAAAAATCATGTTTATGTACTGAAATCACAGTGCAGAATATTTACTGTTATAGTCTTTGCAGGACAAATCAATAAAACCAAAAAATATATAAATTACAAACACTTGTAAAATTCAGTGATTATTTATTTATTTACTTAGTAACATTTTGATTCTGACAAGTGTGTAAAAACACATCTTCCAGAAGAACTGAACTTCATGCTGACTGCAGTAGTCCTGTAGGGGGCGCTAAACTCCATCCGTCATACAACACACAAACAGAAGAAGAAGTGTTGCGTCTCTGTCCTTGCGGAGGCGCTCGCGGTTGAGTGCAGAATGAAAGCGAGTTTAGGGGATGTCACCCCCAGAAATCCACTTTTCTCAGGAGTACTTTATTGGTCAATAAATACAACATATTCACATTTTCAATAGTACATTGTCAATACTAACACAGAATTGTACTTTGTGAATATATTACACGTTTACTATACTACTAACATTATGCTGATAACAATTTTCACACTTGAAAAAGAAAGTACACTTTCTAGTAACTCATAATGAAAAAAAATACGACAGAACATTGTTTTAATTCAATGTCACAGCATTCCAGTATTACAAGATAATGGACAGAAGTCGCAAACCTCTGGTTGAATTTAACTTAAGTGGCCAGACATCCGCATTAGAATTGCGTTTTATTTCCAATTCCAATTTTTCTTCTATAGCAGCTGTCTGAAAAACAACAAATATTAATATGAAAAATAGAGGGTTAAATATGCATACATAAGGTTGTCAAGCTTGAACTACACACTACCATTATTGGTCAGCTCAAGACAAAGTAGTTTTGTTCATAACATGTATTTTTCCCCTAAACTTTTCAAAGAAAGATCATTGACATAATGAAGCCAAATTTTTCAGGAATTCAGAAATAAATACACAGCTTCATTTTGCAAATAAAAATAATGTTAATGCAATGTTGTACATGTTATAATGACTAATTAGATTTTTTGCAGATGCATTGGACAATGTTTTATATTTGTTTTAAGACAAACAAATGTATCCACATAGATTTTAAAAAAAAATATTAAGATTAAAAATCTAAACAGTGAGCTTTTTAATTATGCAAACAACTAAAACTTACCTGTAACTTCTGAGGCAGCATCTTCATTTCTTCGAGTCTGCTTCGATGTCACTTGAAAAGCTTGGCTCTGATTGGTCAAATTGAATGTAGCTGAACTGTAAATAAAGTGCTGTTACACATTGTGTCAAAAATACTACTGGCAAAGACAAGTTATGTTAATGTAACACAAATCTGACCTAGAATCACAACATAATGAGGTTCAAAATGTCACACGCCATGCACACACTTCTCAAAATGCAACAAAATGCTACGTTTCAAAGAGTTAATCACAAAAATACCATCCATATGAATCGCGTGGTTTCCTCCTAGTCCTCTAAAGACACACGATATCTCTATATTTTTAACAGTTTAAATTTAGACTTCTAAATCTAATCACAGTCAAGTAACATTCACGCACAGCAGAATTTATCTGACAAATGGAGGTTCTAAGTGAGGAGTTGCGAGGCAAGCTCATTATCATAAGAACCAATCACGACCACCGGCTCTGAAACCAATCAGGACTCACGTATGCTATTGTTTGAATTTAAACGTACACTGTAAAAAATAAAATCGTAAAAAAAGGGTCAATTGACTGGCAGCAAAGGGGGCCAAACAAATACCATTAAAAATATAGCTGCGAGCAGCGATGGCGGGCCCAAGCCGGAGGCACCGCAACCCCGGTTCCTTTAGTTACCTAAATGCACCCGGGTGGCGGTGCCGAAGGCTTTGGCCCTTTCATGATTAAATGTTAAAATGGCTTGCCATACTCTGTCATTTCGACTACTCACAATTATGTTACAGATATCTTAAATGATAATACAAACTATCCAAAGTGTAATTACGACTAGACAGAAAGACGTTGTTGATATCTACAATGTTAATTCCGGATAGGCAAACTTAGCTTTTAAATGTTAAAAGGGCTTGCCATACAGGGACGTAGGCTCAGAGAGAGGCTCACCATATTCAAACCAAAATATCTGACTTCCTCTTGGTCCGAGCTAATGACTATGTATTAGAAAGTTGTACGGCTTGAGGAGTACAATGTATATACCGATTTTTGTAACTGTAGATAAAACTAACCCCACTTTTAAGTATATATATGGTGCCTTTAGTGTTATTCTGCACGACGTGCAAAAACTTAACCCCCGCTTTTTTAAGTATATATATATATATATATATATATATATATATATATATATATATGAAGAGTTCAGATGCAAAAGCCTCTAAATGCCATTTGAAATTTTCTTCTTTAATGATGATTTTTATCAAACTTGTATATTTAAGTTCAGTAATTTCACTTAAATAACAATTAATAGGTAATTATCATTGCCATTTAAGTGAAATTACTGAACTTAAATATACAAGTTTGATAAAAAAATCATCATTAAAGAAGAAAATTTCAAATGCATTTAGAGGCTTTTGCATCTGAACTCTTCATATATATATATATATATATATATATATATATATATATATATATATATAAAGAGGGTTATTCTGCACGACGTGCAAAAACTTAACCTCCGCATTGACTGTCGAAGAGAAGTGTGCAGAAGAGCTTGCATCAGTGAGGGCTTTGCAAAATATATATACATACAAACACACACACACATATAAATGAGGTTAGTGTTTTACAATATTAAGGAAAGCAAATGTATTGAAATATAGCACATGAATTTTAAAATCATTCAGCTTCAATTACCAATTTGTAGTTTACCAATTTATCTTACTTTTATTTAAACCAAGCTATACATTTAAAAGATTAGGGTTATATGCATATTTTGTCATTTAAAAAAATAAAAAATTGTTATGCAAAAAGATAAGGACTTGCAGAAAAAATCTACAGTCAGCCAAACACACACACACACATAAACGCAGACACCAGCAACCCCCCCTCCCTCTTCCCCACACAGACACTGATAGAGACAAGATACACATCCAAACTGCAATATCTGACTTTCTTTTGGTCTGAGCTTCTTACTGTTAATTAGAAAGTTGATCGGCTTGACAAGAACAATATACGTGGCATGTTTTGTAACTGTAGGTAAAACGAGCAAAGTTAACACATTTTATGTGTCCTTTTTTAGTCATAAAATTATTTTCCTCGCCACGGCCAAACCATTCGAGACATCAAAAATCCGTCCGGAATTGAGCATCCTCAATGTCTTGCCTTCATGCACACCGAGTTTTGTGGTGATTGGTAATCACATGCGTTGTAATTTGATGTATTTCTCCCAGGAGATTTATTCAAACAACCCATAATTCCCAACTTCCATTTGACCTGTCGTAAAACTTAGAGCACGAAAGTTGTTTGGCCTGATGTGATCTATAAGTGTACCGAGTTTCATATTATTACATGCAAGTGTGTTTGATTTATGGACCAAATTTTCAGATCAAGTTTATGGACCAAGTTAATTTAATTAATAAACTAATTATATAAAACTATTGTCAATGCACTACAATTAAACTGGTTATATTATGCCTTTATGTATAAAAAAAATAAAATAAAAACTTATTTAAAACATACCAGGCTTAAAAAATGTTTTTTTTTTCTGCAGGCCAGACACACAGCAGTGAAATGGTTAAGCCCCCTCCCCCTACAAACACACACACAGAGGCACAGACAGGCAAACACACAGACAGAGACAGAGATGTAGGCTCAAAGAGACCATGACCACATTCAAACAAAGATATCTGACTTTCTGTGGGTCCTAGCTAATGAGTGTCAATTAGAAAGTTGTCTGGCTCGAGGAGTACAATATACATACCGATTTTTGTAACTGTAGATAAAACTAACAACCCCACTTTTGTCAAAAGGTGGCGCTACTGAGCCCTCACCACGCCCGTTTCTGAAACTTTGCACGTGTCTACTGGCTAATAAATGTGATGTGTCTGTCGAGTTTCATGCAATTTCAAGCATGCTAAGGGTCTCAAAAGCATCCTAAAAGAATGGTAAAGTTTGATGCGTCGCCACGGCAACAGTTTCAAAGATATCAAGAATCCATTCACAGGTCTACATCTGCCGTATGTTTACATTATACATATGAAGTTTGAAGCAAATCGGGTAAAAATAAAAGGGTGATTTCAAAGCATTTTGAAAGTGACACACTTCCTGCTGCCAGTTGGTGGCGCTATAACTTTGACTCACAATAGTCACATCCATGTGATCGTCCTCTTACAGCGAACACACTGCTGAAGTTTCATCAAGATCAGTTAATGTATGCTGAAGTTATAACACACTTCCTGTTTCACATTTCTCGCCATGATTTCGTTTCCTCGCCACAGACAAACCGTTCGAGATATCAAAAATCCCCACACAAGCTTTCATCCTCAATGTCTTGACTTCACGCTGACCGAGTTTCGTCGAATTTGGATCAAAGCTCTAGGAGGAGTATTT